GTTCTGTAAAGACCATACCTGGGGCATTTCTGTGACATCAACACTCACACACCCAGACACCGTGGACCTCCCCTGGGAAAGAGGGTCATTGCCGATTCTTCATTTCCTATGGGCAGAGTACTGATTTTCTCTCTGGAGGGCCATCTCTGCTGGTGCAGTGAATTATTTATATGACTCTTCTAGCCACAGATTTCATAATTCCCACACAATGACTGGGTAGGACCATGCAAATATGATAGATGACATTCTAATGAGGTTATGGAGACCTGGTGGCATAGTGTTTAAGTGTTGGGCTAATATCCGAAAGGTCAGCAGTTTGGACCCACCAGCACTCCTCAGGAGAAAGACTTTCTGCTGGGGAAAGGGCTTTCTACTTTTCTCAAAGTAGAAAGTTACAGTCTCAGGAATGAACCCAGAGGGGCAGTTCTATCCTGTCCTATAGGATTGCAATGAGTTGGAATCAACATGTGGCTGGGAGTTTGGGTGTTGTTTTTTTTTTTGGTTTAATGAGGTGATTAGTCAGTTTTCCATCCCACAAAGTTTAAAACAGGGGATATCACTATTGTTAAGAAAGAAGAACCAGGAGTAGAACATATGCTTCGGACCCCAAGGTCCCTCTGTGCGGCACCTCATTCCAGGAGACAGAAGGCTGTGAATAGAAGACGTGGTGGAGAAATGGTTGCACAGAGGCAGCAGTAAGTACCAACAGCACAAGACAAAGCAATGGGGTTCCTGGGCAAAGATATGAGTAAAGAAAGAGGAAGGTCTTTGGGCAGGAGGTTCACTTGCAGAGTGGTTAGCCCTCAGAGTGGTTAGCCTTCACTCACTTAATCAAGGCAGATAGGTTGGCTGAGAACCAGAAAGAAGTCTAGGCAGGCACAGCAAAAATGAAAAAAAAAAAGAAAAGTTCCCTTGTGATTGGAAGAGCATTTCTGATTTTGAATTGTAATTGTGTTCTGATTTCGAATCGCAACCAGCGAACTGCTCTAGCAAGGAGCCCTGATGGAGCCGTGGGTAATAACACATTGGGCTGCCAACCATAAAGTGAAAACTTGAAAACCGTCAGCCATTCTCGAGAGAAAAATGAAGCTTCCTCTCCCGGAAAGATTTAGTCTTGGAAACTCCCAGGGGCAGTTATATTTTGTCCTATAGAGTCACTATGAATCAGAATCGGCATGATATTTGGGGTGAATTTTTGAAAAGCAAACTTCCCTAACAAACACCTCAATCTTGAGCATTGTCGGCGAGCTCTGTGTTGCCATTGCAATGGCTTTTTGAACCCAGAAGAGAAGCAGTCAGTGTCCTGGAGGGATGATGGGTGTCAAGTTTGGGAAAGGAAGTTGGAGGGGGGAGGCCTGTCTGACCTTGCCTCAGAGGAATCATCAGCCTTCAGTTGAAGAAGTTAGAGTCTCATTTCATCTGGCGTAGTTGGAAGAACTTGGCTGCCACCCCCACCTCCACATCATACTGACAGGTCTCCGGGTTGGTTCTCTCCATTACCCTATTCACTCTTCTCCTTTGAAGTGTGCTAAGAATGCCATGATATGAACGAGGTCCCCACTTTTGATGACATTAAATTGTGGCTCAGTGTATTCTGTGGCTCCTGGGTCCCTGATTTCTCAAGGCTGCTCTCTCAGAAGGAAGCTGGTGGCGTCGTGGGTTCCACACTAAGCTACCAACTGCAAGGTCAGTAGTTTGAATGCACCAGCTGCCCCTCAGAAGGAAGATGAGACTTTCTGCTTCCATAAAGATTTGCAATTGCAGAAGCCCAAAGGGGCAGGTCTACCCTGTCCCCTAGGTCACTATGAGTTGGAATCAATTCCACAGCAGTGGGTGGTGATCTTCTTTGATGTTCTGTCCTTGTGGCTCAGAATGAGCCTGGGCATGCATTCGAATGAGTCTACCCTGTCTCTGTAGAAGGCACCAGAGAGCTTGAGGGAAGGCTAGAATGGTTGGCAGGAGACTCAGGGGCAGGAGAGGGGCTGAGAAAAACTCAAAGGGCTCCAGAGCTTTGACTCAAGAGCCTGAAGGCATTGAGCACTTTCCTGCACACATCACAGAGGCTACACTGATGAGGCCAATGTGTTCATCACCACCAGGATTTTACAGTGAATAGACTTGGGTTTACAGGCAAGAAACCCACTCTCATATCAAAAGGAACAGACTTTGGAGAATGTCAAGGCATCAGGGTGGTGGGGTGGTGGGTACTATGGATGGGTGTCAACTGGGCGACGTGGAAGATTATAGACCAGAAGAGGAAGAAGAGAAGTCAAGCAGTGGGAGAAGGGTCAACTACGGGGAGGTTTGATTAGGAGTTTAAACTGTTGGCTACAAAGTTGATGATTTGAAATGTAACCCCCCAACCTCATTTACAATGAAAACTATTATAAAGGAAAAGAGGCTGCAGTAAGTAGAAAAGATGAAAATAAAGACACGTAGCCATCAGCTCTTCATGGATAACGAGTGAGCCCAGATCTGTATCGTTCCAGAGTCCAGGCTGCTCACCACCACGTGCTAGAAGAGCTTCTGTGGTTCTCTCGGGACGTGTATCTCCGTGTAGACATCGTAAGGAGCCCTGGAGGTGGAGTGGTTAGGCACCCGGCTTAGCTACTGACTGAAAAGGCCAAGAATCCAGACCCACCAGCTGCTCCGTGGGAGAAAGCTTAGGAGAGTGGGCTGCCATCAAGATTGCCATCTTGGAAACCTTGCGGAGCAAGTCTGCTCACCTCCAAGATTGTGGGGGTGAACTTATTCCACTGCAATGAGCAGTAGATAGCAGAGTGAGCACCGAGGGAACCAAGTCGGTGAATGCAGATACATGTTCTTGCCCTCAATAGCCAGGTCCTCCCTGCAGCCAGGGGGTCCCTGACTCGACCTGAGACCCATGCATGAGCAGGGAAGGAGAGCTGCCTTATCAACACTTAGTGACAAAGACAGGACACAATACAAATGCCAAGAAACTTCTTGTGTGGGAGGGAGGAGCGGAGGGGGGCTGGCTGGGAACGCTCAGAGTATGACATTCAGCCAAAGGGTGGACAACTTCGCTCTTTGACCTGGATGGACCACGGGAAAGACAAGTGTATTTCTGACCAGCAAGTTAGGTCGTATTCATTTGTAGATAATACGGCTTGGTAGTTTTAGCGCGTTTGAGCAGCTGTCCTCTGGGTTGGACAGGGTCTTCTTGATCATATCGATAGGCCTCTCTGCAAAAGGACAGCTTTGGCCCATCTGCCTCATGAGCTACGGAGCACAGGAGTTTCACCAGTCTGGGACGGAATCAAATCCTCTTAAATATTTAGTGGTTTGAATGGACAATCAGATTTATTTACTTTTCCCCCCCTTCCAAGTATGGAGTACCTGTTATTGTGCCTAGCTACTGTGTGATTTTTCTGTGACCACCACAGACAATGAGACAAGAGCTCTCCTGCTCTCAAAGAATTCATCTTACAGTGAAAAGAGGGACGATTAAATAGACTCACAGTGTTAAGTGCTGTGATAAGGATTGTGAAATGAGTCACCCGGAAGTCTAGAAGACATTCCTCACAACACTGGGGCAAACACACACATGAACTCTCTCTCTCTTTCTCTCTCTCTCTCTCTCTCTCTCACACACACACACACACACGCACACGCATGAAGGCTTCCTAGCCAGTTAATCTAAGCAGAGTCTGGAGGAGAATGGGTGTTGGAAAGGGAAAGGATTCTGGAGTAGACGTTCTGGGCAGAAGCAACTCAGAGCCTGGAAACCAGACAGAGGAAGGGGAAGGCGAGAGAGAAAGTTCTAGCAAACGTCACACTGGATTGTGAGGCGGTCGAGGGGAGAGATGGAGCAGGACAGGCTCACAATCAGCCTTCTATGTTTTGAAAAGGAGTTTGGGCTTCCTGCTGGCGCACCTTTGGGCACACGTAGTTAGGTTGGGATCTTAGAAGGACTTCTGCAGTGTCACAGAGTCCATTGCAACCGACAGTG